GGGGCTTAATAGTCTTTTTAGCCCTTTTACCTTTGAGAATCTAGCCCTTAGGAGCTAGATTAGGAAATAATAGCTAGTAGGTATTAGTATTATAACTAATAACCCTATAGTGTTGGTAGTATTTTCCTTTAAAAGGCTTATTTTTATACGATTTATAATACTTATATTCAAGTACGAGGGATCTTGGTGGCCTTCGGCCACCAGATAGTCCTTGTGGAGCGAAGTGACAAGGTTTTTACCTAGTTAGGTACTGGATTTTTTTATATAATCACTATCGTGTGATAACTAAATAATTTCAATTGCTGGGCTTGGTGTATATCTACTGCCGGCAGAATCATTCTGCCATTTCTCAGCGATGACATTTTCGCCGCATTAGAACTCTATGGATTTGGACCTCATATAGGGGGTTGTTGGGCCGTAGTACTATACTGGGCCGAGTATAGTTTAAATAATAGAACTAGAAAGGACTACTTAAGACTCTAAATATATACCACTAAAGAGATATCTAATACTAGATTATATATACTAGTACTAGCTTCCTAGAGCTAGTCTAGGAAATCATACTTTACCTAGGTCTATAATATATATCCCTTACCCCTAAGCTATAAATACAAGGGATCTTGGTGGCCTTCGGCCACCAGATAGTCCTTGTGAAGCGAAGTGACTTATTAGTAGTCAGTTGGTTAGTGACTGGGTGTTGATTACTCAGATTCGCTAGTGTATATCACGTGATAAGAACTTTCAGTACCTAGGGCCTCTAGTACAGAGGCCCGGCAGAATTATTCTGCCATTTCTCAGCGATCATTTTTCGCCGCATTAGAACTCTATGGATTTAGACCTCATATAGGAACAAGGTCACGTGACGTATACCCAAGCCCTTATGATATGGGTTGCTTCGCTTCGCTCCGCAATTAATCTCTAGCTTTCTATTTAAACTAGGGGGTAGTATTATTTCTTAGACCTTAAAGAAATAAGCCTATATTACCTCATTAACTATAGAAAGCGCATGTATTACTAAAGCTATCATTATATAATAGGAAGCTTTATAGTTAACGTAGTTACTTATCGAATTAGGGATCCCTAGATTTCTTTATAAACTAGTCCCTATCTTTATACATAATGATAGAGTAATTACCCTAGTATCTAATCCAGAATTTAATACTAATACTATGTATATCGCGGTTCGATTCTATCGACTTCTTTAAGAAGTGGCTACTAGACCTATTAAATTTATTAAGATTCCTATAGTAAGTATAGTAGCTAATAGCCTTATAAAGCTATAACTATATCTCCTATTTAAGAAATAGGTCTTATAAATAGGCCTATATACCTATCGGAAAGAACCTATAATTTACGTGGGGTTATGACATCTATTGTGGAATAAATCATGATTTGTCCGAGCTTCGGACAATTTGGATTATCTTCCGTGCTTTCCTATCCATGGGTAGATTATCTAAAGACAAATAAATACCCGAAAAATATCTGTTTTTTTACACTGAGGAAGGGACCAATTAAGCTAGTATACGGGGTGTTAGAGATCATAGAACCTCTAGGTTTACTCCCAACATATCTTAAGTCTCTATACCTAGATAGCTTTCTCCCTTCTCCATGTAACTTAATACAGTTTTCCAGAAGACTGCTTCTTGCAAATACTGTATCCTCAAAATCATTAGATTCTGGCGGGAAACTGGCAAGGGGGTCAATTTGCGAAAGCGACTTTTCTATGTACAACCTGGGACTACCCGGCACTCGAATTATACATACTATGTTGGGATCGAGAAAACTGTCAGATAAGACAGTCCGAAAAAGTATGTAGAGTAAAGATGAACAAGACAAAGATATCACATCTATCCCAACACCGTGTGCTGATATCTCAATAGAGTATTAGATAAGTGTAGAGTGTACACCCACCCACCCTAGAGCACCCACTAGACCCGCGTGAAGAAATAAAGATATGCGGTCTTCTTCATCGCTTCAATATCCTCGAACTTGACTACCTTTTCATCATTGAACATCACCCACGATAGGCTACTTTGACCTGGTAATGTCTTGCGAATCACGGCAACATAATGTCTAGCATGTGTTAGTGAAAACCAAGGAAATGAGGACGGAGACATATCAAGCAACCCACCCTGCATGAACCGATGTGCCTTTGTGGCATACAATCGACCTTAATTCATAACGAGCAGGTAAGCCAGTGAGCCCGACCGAGCCGCCATGAGACTGTGCGTTGTGATCAACACTTGGGTCTTCCTTTTCCACCACATCGTCCGGGTGAGTGAAAACCCAATCTAGTGCCCTGTTAACATCGCCATCGGTCGCAGCCAACGCTCGCTGGGCACGAGACGCCTCAATGCCCATATCTCCTAGCTGCGCAATTTTCTTCGCGTCTTGCTCACTAGAACTAGAGGTGCCGACTCGATCAAGAGCCAGCGGTTCATCGATGCCTGGATCCTCCATGTGCGCAAACAGCCAATTCATGGCAGCCTCAGGATCTGCATTACCAGTGGCGTGCAGAGCTTTCTCACACCTCACAGCAGGGAATCCCATGCCTATGAGTTGGTCGAGAGCTTCCGGGTTCGGGACAAATGCAGAGGATTCTTCAATATCCGGAAGTAGCTCCTCACCTGCATCATGCTCACCAGCAAGGTAAGAGCTGAAGTCCAGTGGCTTATCGTCGACCAGCACAGGGATATCCAACTTTGTAGGAACCCAGTTAACGAGCTCAAACCGACGAGCATTGATGACCAATTCCCGAGGCAATGTTTTGAAAGACGACTGCTTCGAAAAACCACCTTGACTCCCACAAGCAGGACATGTGAGCTCAACGACCTCCGCCGAAGTAAAGATGTCTAGACACTCTGATAAATCCACAGATTCATATTCCGTTCCTGTTTTGTCAGAGGTGGTGGCAAGACGTGCAGGGACAGCAACCGAAATGTTGTCCTGCTCATCCACTTTATAACGGACTTTCTTGCAATTTAAACACTGAAGACGTTGCTCAACTTGGAAGCGAAAGTGTTCAACTGGGTTAATCTGCGGACTGATGTGCTTCGATAGGGCGACAGACTTGAATAGATGTAGAAGAAATTCAAATGCATCTTGCTGTCTCATGGTGGCGAACTCCTCATGACCCTGCCCAATAAGATACTTGAACATTGCTGGTGCTAAGCCTTTTTGATGAGCGACTTCTGGGATGCCTGCGGACAACATAACGCGAGAATCGGGCTGGGAGTACCGGCCTGAGAGTAGACCGTCGGCAAGCTTTTGCATCTGTGTCTCGAAGTCCTGGGCTGGTGCTTGACAGAGTGGCGGTTCTTCTGACAGTTGATAGTATCGCTCACGAAATCCAGTCACCGAAAATATGCATTGCATAATACTGGAGAGATAGCAGCTGTTTCCGAGATTTGCCAGGCCTGTCAATGTAGGCCCAAAGACTGGAGCCAACTCTCGGCCATCTTCGGTTGTCATGGAAAATTCCCATTTTAAATTGTGCTCGACCTGCATTTCCATCAGACTCTTCTCTGTCTTTTCACGCCCAGCCAGATAGATTCCCCAGTGTGCAAGGTGAGCCGCCAATTCTGGGTCTACTCTTTCTTCGTTGCACTTGTAGCAGTAGACATCAGCGGAGCCTTCTGCTGTGATTGAGCCGAGTTTGACAGCCACAGCATGTGATGTTGACTCTGCGTGAGTAAGCCCATGTGAGTTCCCTTTGCTTCCGCCGAATTGACTTCGCCCACAACCCTTGTTCCCACATTCCAGACACAACCAAAGGTTCTCGCTCAGATCACATTCTGAGCAGTGGCTTGAATCTACAATGTCAGGTTAGCATGGAGCCTAGGTGAGCTTTGGAGGGAATCAATACCAGTCGATGTGGACGTGGCTTGCGTGTTGTCCCGTTGAACCAGACAAAGTGTATGCTCGCAAGGAACAAACTCTTGCTCCCAGGCTTTGACTTCTTCCTTTTTTGAGAAAGTCATTGCGTTCATAACACCTTCAATGACGATAGGAAGCTTCCCACTGGCTTTGTCCACATTGTTTTGAGAGCACGAATAGCATACCACTGACGTGGCAATGTCATACCTATCGTCTTCTGTTTCAGCTGCGATAGAAAGCTTTGAGATTTTCGGGGGAGGCTCGTCGCGCTATAAGTCAAAGGTGTGAGAATCCTTGGTCACAAGCTCGACAAGTATTTGGAGGCTATACCTGCACTTTCTTGGGGGTCCTTCGAATGTTCAAAGCCAGCGGATGACCAAATCTCTTGTAATGAAGCAGAGCATGGTCTCTGTTTCCAGCACATCCACCATTGAAACAATGGAGACAAACATTTAGACCGGCATCATCGTCCTTGCAAGGTGGAAGTCAGATCAGATATTGAGTAGTATAGGAACCAAGGTGGCTGGCATACAATAGAATCAAAGCACTGCGTGCAATCTTCTCGATAAACTGCCTGGGAAGATCCTGGTGGATTCAGATCTATAAAGTGTTTTTAGCTCGATTTGTCTTCGGGTTATCAAGGTGATGTCACAAACCCGCAGCATCGGTATGGACACAAGAGGCCATATCCAGCGAGAAAATCTCGGCGACTTAAGAAAGTACGAATAAGGCTTGCTTGTCTTTAAAGAAGGCTTCAGAAGGTGTGACAGTATCCCATTGAAAGTAAAGATGACAGGAGAGAATATCAGATATCGCAGATCAAGCCCAAGCTACGATGCGTGGGGTCCTTCCTTACCGCCTGCACGTGCTGTTATCAATATTGTCCTGAGGCACCAAGTCATGTGGAGGGGCGGCTGTGCCACTTTACGCGTTATTTTTTTCAACACGCGTTTCAACCTTGTCTTACAACTACTTTACAACTTGATCTGGACTTGAGCAAGTCAAGTCTTTCTTTTGCCTTTCCCTCCCCCCGATTGAACTCTCTCCACTCCATTTTTTTCCAATCCTCTCCCAATAATTTTACTTCGACTGTGTCAATCATTGAAATTTGAAGTCATCACGTAATGGCTTCTGAGGCAGCATCCCAAGTCACCATTGGGGCTCTAAGGTTTGTATATGTTTTATACAAATATTCTATCTAGCAATATATATGTTAATCGCGTGTTTAACAGTGCCATATTTGATGAAACGAAACCCCAAGTTCGAGAGCCGATTGTTCAATGCGTTCAAATCAAGGCACTGCCAGCTCAGCCGGGCCAACCAGAACGTTACCGGGCTGTATTCAGTGATATTGCAAATTATGTTCAAACCATGCTTGCTACTCGTATGTACCGTACTCTTGGTACTCTTGGTAATTCATCGCCAACTGACTGATTTAAGAAGCCAACTCGGTAGTGACAGATGGATCTCTCCGGAAGGGCTCTTTCGTGCGTCTCAAGTCATTTCAATCAAACTCTGTCAAGGGCAAGAAGTATGTGAGGCAATTCTTTCGATTTTGATCGTGCTAATCATCGACAGAATCCTCATTATCTTGGATCTTGAAGTTCTAACGGAACTGGGTGAGGCTGAGAAAATCGGTGAACCCAGACCACTTGAAGTCAAGACCGAGGAAGAGGAGGTGGGTCAACCGACAACAATATCCAGCAATGGGTTCTATGGCTCCAAGATGGAGGGTGCACAGGTTCAGCCAAATAAACGAGCCCAGCCAATGTCTGCCCCTATTTCTACTTCCTCTGCCCATGCCACAATCTACCCGATTGAAGCCATCTCCCCGTATTCCAACAAATGGACGATGAAAGCACGATGCACAAGCAAGTCCAACATCAAAACCTGGCACAACAAGAATGGTGAGGGTAAACTGTTCAGTGTGAATTTACTGGACGACAGTGGTGAAATTCGTGCAACCGGTTTCAATGAGCAGTGCGATATGCTCTATGAACTCTTCCAGGAGGGAAGTGTTTATTACATCTCGAGTCCCTGTCGGGTTCAGATTGCCAAGAAACAGTTCACAAATCTCAACAACGACTATGAGCTCACATTTGAGAGAGATACTATCGTTGAGAAGGTAATATCTTCTTACAAACTATAAACCAAATACATCGCTCACAATTTATCATAGGCTGAGCAGCAAAATGATGTCCCTCAGATACGATTCAACTTCACCACCATTGCTGATTTGCAGACTGTTGAAAAAGACACCACTACTGATGTCATTGGCGTGCTGAAGGATGTCGGGGAGACATCCCAAATCACATCCAAAAGTACCGGAAAACCCTATGACAAACGCGAGCTTACGCTGGTTGATAACACGGGATTTTCTGTCCGCTTGACAATTTGGGGTGCATCTGCAAACAATTTTAGTGTGGCGCCCGAATCTGTTGTTGCCTTCAAGGGAGTCAAGGTTTCTGACTTTGGCGGAAGAAGTCTGAGCCTTCTGAGTTCGGGCTCAATGACTGTGGATCCTGACATCGGGGAGGCTCACCGACTCAGAGGTTGGTATGACGCCCAAGGCAGGTCGGAGAACTTCACATCCCATGCTTCATTGTCAAATGCAGTCAGCTCCACAGGCAAAAGAGATCCCTTCAAAACTATTGCTCAAATTCGCGAAGAGCAGCTTGGCATGTCTGAAACTCCTGATTACTTCTCTCTGAAAGCAACTGTGATCTACATCAAGCAGGATTCTACCTGGTGCTATCCTGCCTGCCTTTCTGAAAACTGCAACAAGAAGGTAACGGAACTTGATCCAGGACAGTGGCGGTGCGAAATGTGTGACAAGACCCACCCCAAGCCAGAGTACCGCTTCATCATGCCTATTAGTGTCAGCGACCACACTGGCCAGCTTTGGCTTAGCTGTTTTGATGACACTGGAAGAAACATCATGGGAACATCCGCTGATGAACTAATGCAACTTCGCGAGGACGATCCCAGCGCTTTTGGTGAAGTCTTCCAGGGAGCCAATTGCCAAACCTGGAGCTTCAGGTGCCGAGCCAAGATAGACAATTTCGGTGACCAACAGCGGTAAGAATGATTGAATAACTAATATTTGAATAACATGAACCTCATACTAATAATGCATCCAGTGTCCGATATCAAGTCTCATCCTCCCAGGCAATCAATTACTCAGATGAAGCTTCTCGCCTTGCCGATATCATCAACTCCTACAGTCTTGAGTCAGTATAGGCAAAGTGAACAAATATCTTTGTCCAGCTTTGTACTATCTTCACTATTCCTACGTGCCCTCAGAAGTTTTTATCAATGTTCATGCGTATTTTCATGCTACTCGAGCTACGCCATGATCATTTTATCAATGGCTTCTCACTTTGACTTTATGTTTTCTCCCTCCTATTGAGTACCCTAGAAAATAAAACATAAATAGTCTTTTTTTTTTTTTTTCCTTCTCTCGCCATGATACTTTCATCGATGGTCTATCTGCAATCTGGCCAGTCCATCTGAGGACATCGACTGGTTTTAGTTATGAGGCGGTCAGCCGACAAAGGGCGGAATATAATGGCAATACACTATCATTGCTTTTTTTTTTTTTTTCCTTTTTTTTTCCTCTATATTTTTTCTGCTGGAACAATTCAGGCAGAGAATTCAGCCTCGTGCTCTTTGTCTTCTTTATTTCACTCTCATTTTGCTATACCGTCCCTATATAATCCTCGTCATGGGTAAGCGAAGCCATCTCGAGTCAACTGAGCAGCGACCGAAGAAAAAGTCCAAGTCCGAGAAGCCTGCAAAAGCTTCTAAAGATAAGCAGGACAATGGAGATGAGAAGACTGTGTCTTATTCTGATGCCTCTGCGCTATCCAAGATCCCTCAGTCAGACATCGACAGTTTCTTGACCGAGAACGTGATTAAAATTGTTGATCCCTCTTCACCTGACGCCTCTCAATTCCGCCCAATCCTTTCGTTTGATCACCTACCTGAATGCGATGCCGGTCTGTACGCTCAATTGAAGTCTTTCTCTAAGCCAACGCCAATTCAATCTACTACATGGCCGCTTCTTTTTGCTGGCCGTGATGTGATTGGTATTGCAGAGACTGGAAGTGGCAAGACCCTGGGTTTTGGCTTGCCATGCCTGAAGAAATTGATTGACTCTAAGACGAGCAAGAAACCTTGCCAACCCAGGGCAGTGATTATCTCACCAACCCGAGAGCTTGCAATGCAGATTTATGACCAGCTTGTCAAATTTGGCGGCACTGAGAAGACTCAGGTGACATGCATTTACGGAGGTGTGGGTAAAGATGAACAGCGTCGGGCTCTCCAAAAGGCTGCCATTGTGGTTGCCACCCCTGGACGTCTTAAGGACCTCCAAAGTGATGGTTCAATTGATTTTGGAAAGGTCAATTACCTCGTTTTGGATGAGGCAGACCGCATGCTTGACAAAGGATTTGAGCAGGATATCAAGGATATTGTCAAGCCAATGCCCGTCTCCAGGAGACAGACTGTCATGTTCACGGCAACATGGCCCCGGTCGGTTCGAGATCTCGCAGCAACTTTTATGAAGACTCCAGTAACTGTTACCATTGGCGGAGACCCATCCGCGGATCCCCGAGCCAATTTGAGGATCAAGCAAGTCGTTGAAGTTGTTGATGGCCGAGACAAGGAGGGCCGACTCATACAACTACTCGCTAAATCCCAGCGTGGTCATCAGTCGCCCGAGAAAGTCCTGGTTTTCTGCCTCTACAAGAAGGAGGCTATGCGTATTGAGAATCTTATCAGAAACAAGGGATTCTCGGTTGCTGGCATTCACGGCGATTTGAACCAATCAGATAGATTCCGAAATCTTGATGCTTTCAAGAAAGGCAATGCCAGTGTTCTTGTCGCAACCGATGTGGCGGCGCGTGGTCTTGATATCCCGAATGTAAAACTTGTGATCAATGTCACATTCCCTCTTACTGTTGAGGACTACGTGCACCGAATTGGAAGAACTGGACGTGCTGGAGCTGACGGACTTGCCATCACCATGTTTACTGAAAATGACAAGGCACTATCTGGCGGGTATGTCACTCATTTCTTAAATTCTAGAAATCGTCAGGGTCCAATGCTAATTGTGAATAGATTGATCAATGTTCTAAAGGCAGCCAAGCAAGACGTGCCAGAGGCACTGTTGAAGTTTGGTACAACAGTCAAGAAGAAGCAGCACGATGTGTACGGTGCCTTTTACAAGGACGTTGATATGGACAAAACAGCGACAAAGATCACATTTGACGATTAATTGATTCATTTCGACTTGAGATCTTTCCTGGAGGATCTGGAGGACCAAATGAGACGAAGTCTTGTCAATTGACTCATCAGATACTCCCTTTCTATGTAGACTCTGTTTTTTTTCATCAGTTAGGCGTTAGGGAAAAAAATTTAACATTGTGTCAGATTCAGATCAGATACTCACATTAGGAGAGCATAGGTGCCACTGAAGGCGCATGCTTTGAGAATTCCCAATTTCTGGCCAAATCTGCGGCCCAAGACCAAACTCGCCAGAGCACACAGGATGAAGCTTGCGGGTCGAATGGCCACTTCACTCGTGTGCAGGCTACATCCATTTCGATGGAGGTACGACTTGATAAACCTGTAACTCCAAGAGGTTCGAACCGCCATATTGACAATATTGGCCAGGACCAATCCATACGCACCCAAGTTCCCTACTTCGAGGAACATATAAGCCGCGAAGGCATAGCAGGCGGAAAAGACACCCATCCACGCCGTTTGCTTCCGTATCTGTTGCGAATTTGCTGCAGACGACACGAATGCTTCGGTGATCCCATTAAATGCCAGAAATGGAATGTAGTAACAATAGACGGAGAGCAGGTCACCAATTTTGGGGGACGCCCATTGGCGGCCCCCCAAGATATACAGCAACTGGGGAACCATCATTGGGCCTAGCGGGAATATCAGGACTGATAGCAACTGGTACGCGCGTAGGATATCGATGAGGTGATCTCTGGAGGTGCGGATATGAATCTTCTTCAGCCTTCCATCCTCATCGGGGCTCAGTAGGGCCGAGAATAAGTTCCGGCTGCTCTCCTCCAGCGGCTGGAAGATGATCCGTGCAATGAGCCCGCCGTAGTTCGACGCAAGAGAGTATATCCCCTGATCTTCTAATCCTGACAGTGCTGCAAGCATCATAGTGTCGCCCTGCGTGAGCAAATGCTTCACCAGAGATTGGAAAAAGACATTTACAGCAAGCGACGTTAACTGGCGCGAGAACCGTCCCAGAAAGTAGTGAGAGGGGTCCCTATGAATGGTTACCGCGTTGTCCTTTATGCTATAGCTAGGATGAGCTAAGGTTGGTCTTACCTGGATTGCATACGTGTCAATAAGAAAGAGAACCGGGTAGTGTTGGTCCCTCTGAGTAGAGCCAGCGAGTAGCCACAGATGAGAGCCAGCGAGTAACTGAGGTGACCAAGGGCAAACGGCAGCACACCGAGATCATAGTTGACTTGAGAGGCATATATAAAGGTAGAGGATGTCACCGCACTTCTCAGAAACGCCGCTGGCATTTCGACAGCAGCACGTTTTTCATAGAGCATATGTTGCTGTATTACTGAGAAAAATGGCTCAATGCTGAGTTCCATGAGAGATGCAACCCCAATCAAGATCACACTGGGGTAGAAGAAGGCGGTCTTTGATGCTTCCTCCGGGACAAAGCGCTGGTAAAGCATAGTGAATATAAGACTGGAAGGAATCCCAAGGGCGAGGCTCAAGTAAGAGACATTCACAGCTGCTTGAGAGGCCACAGAGGGTGCCGTGGTGGTAGCAGCTGCTTCAAGATACTGCTTTTTGTTGTCGGGAGAAGGGACAGGCTGCCTTTGGATAGCCATCCGAATACTTTCCCTCGAGAAATACAAGATCGAAACCTGGAACAGCTCCAGTTGTGCTGCTATTCCCAACACGACCGGTGAAAGGGTGCGCAAAATCAATTGGTTCGAGGTAAAGGTGAAGACCCTGGATGCTAATTGAATCAAGATCAAAAAGCTTGTGCCTGTGGCCGACGAAGCCAGAATCTTGCCCATGCGGGCATCGTCAGCTTTGACCATGCCCGTGATTAAACCCAGCTATGACGGGTGCAAGGTTGAAGGGGTTGTAGAGGATGTGAAGTGAGAAACCAGGGTGGGGCCTGCTCTGTAGGGGATGTTCCAGCTCAAGGCTTTTGAGAAATGGTAGACATTTGCCTGAAGTTGAAGACTGTCTTAAGCTTATGGAAATGATATTAATCTACTAAATCTGCAATCTATAATCTACATATAATTAATTCCACTTGCACCCATGGCGCCCCCGAGGGATCTTGCGTACGTGTAGTCCCAGGGTGCCGACCTCGGGTTTCCCCGGGGTCTCCCTGAGCCCTTTATGTAGGTACTCCGTACCTCACTATAGGTATTTACCTCAAGAGGGCTAGGTATGACTACATATGACTACAAGCTAATTGTGAAATTTCTTCCAGAACCTGTGATGTCTGATGTCTGGTATGCAAGATTTTCATGGCAGAGGGAAGGAGGTGCTATAGGTCAAAATCCACAAAGCACTGTGCTTCTTCCAAGTAGTCCTCTGGCTGCATCCTGAGAGATCCTGACCCATATTGAGTTTTGTCGGCCATCGTATGGAGAAAATCCTGGAGAGAGCTAGCCACTGGGATGTTAATGATACGTTGTCGACCAATATATTTCCAGGTGCAGCCATCTTCGGGCTGTTGATCAACTAGACTCTTGAAGGCTCTTGAAGGCTCTAGAATGGAGGCAGATAGAATGGATAGCCACCATTCTTGGTTTTGAAGACACTGAGAAGGAAGCTGTATGTTGCAAAAAGAACAGTTGCCCAGATCAAGACAGCCAGCTGTTGACCCTTGACATCTTCCATCCGGGGGACCTTCAGTGCGAGTGCGATCGTAGCAAAGGAAAGGATAGCGTCTGTGCCAGCAAAATGTTAACCTAGGAACTCGGAATAGAACAACGCTTAGTATCAATAGACCTCACGGTTATCACTTACAGATGGCAGCCACAATTTGAGTCTCCATTCCGAACTGGTTCTGGAATCCACCGGCAAAATAGCTAATGCCACCATGGCCATTGCCAGCAACATATGGAACTTTTCGGATGTGGTTGAACATTTGACCACTTGTGAACAGAAGAATAGCGATCAGGCTGATTGCAGCCCAAAGATTTCGGTTCTGCACAATTGGCAGCAGGTAAGGCGAAAGGACCGCAATCGCAGTCACAACTGCCATCAGAATAGTGACCGCCGATACAATCCGCATGTAATTGACAGGTCGAACTAGTTGCGGTTTGGGGCCTTCGGGCAAGTGACGTCCAATCCAAGAATAGACTTGATCAGCTGAGACCGGGCTGTTTGGGATTGACATGTTAGTGAGATAGGGGCCGGGGCCAAGAGCCTTAGTGGGAAGAAAAGAAAACACCTACCCAGTGAAGTCAAACCGGAGGGGATTCCCTTCAACCTTGGCAAAGGGACCGATGGTAGGAGGGAAGACAAGGAGTACCGGCGCAGTTTGAAGCATGAGCTGCTTAGGTTAGTCGCATGTTATACAGCTCAGTCTTGAGTAAAATTGCTCTACCTTTTGAAAAACGGCCTTGCCATTGTCAAAATCGAGTGTTCCAAAGACTACCTTGAGGTCATCAGGCTTGGTGCCCTTGGTCCAGCTTCGGGCGATCAGGTCCCATTCAGATTCAAAGTCACGGCATAGGAGACAGCCGAAGCGGGGATCCGTGGCCGTTAGGATAACCACAGCATAGTAATCTCGAGGTGTCGAGGTGAGCTCTTCATATGATGCACTATCCAGATCAACAGGCCCCGAACGAGACAGGGATTGATATCTTGTAAACTTGTCCGGTGTTGAGCTTGCAGACACGACATCAGACACCACCGAGAAAAGGAGAAAAAGGACCGCCCAGAGCTTCATTTTGGCATGACAAGGAGCTGTACAGCTTTAAAGAAGTTAGTAATAGAGTCCAATTGATTGAAAATCTATCAATCGGTTGCAATTGAAGAGGTTTGAACACGTTGAGTGACAAAGTCCAGGTGTCCACTATCAACGTAATCGGGCGGGCGTATCAGCTTACTTAATATATTGGCCCCGGCGCGCAAAACACCGCGTCTTCCTTTGTGACGATTTATGTTGTATACTTTGAACAAGCATTGGATGAAACGACACATATCTTAACTTATTTTTATTGCTCTGAACTGGCATGCTTTAATTCATAGGCCTTTTTTTTAATTCTACTTTTTTATACCAAAGGGCTGTCTTTGTTGTGGCCACTGTCGTCATGGCAATGGCCGAAGAGACATCCGCCTTGGATGTATGCGACTTCCCTGGATTGATACAGATATGCCAAAGATGCTGACTTGATAATATAGTTTGAAATGTCCTTGAGGACCATGCGCTTGGAGATGGAGTATGAGAAGACTCTTTCGGATTCCGCTCGTCTTCTGGATGGCGAGAGGGATCGCGTACAACGCATGGAGCTTTTGCTCTCCAAATTCGAGAACGAAGCTCTCAGATCGCAACTGGACGAAGCAAGCAGGCATCTGTTGGGATTCACCGGTGCTGATTCAGAGGCATGTGTTCAACTTCAGGAGGCTTGTTTGGAAATCGATCAGCTGGAGCTTCAAGCACAGGCATCCGCGAGTGAGATTGACCGGCTCAAAGTAAGTTTGAATTTAGTCTACAAGCCGAATACAAAATTCGTTGTGTTGACAGCAACAGGAAGAACTCTCATTCCAGAAACATAATTCGACAAGTTATAGTGCTCTCCTTGCAGAGAAACTGCGCCTCTCTAGAGATCTTTCAGCTCTACAGTCAGAGCTTGAGCGGTCCATGGCGCAAAACGCATCATATCAAGCCGTCATATCTGAGAAACATGAGATGGAGCGGCAAATGAGTTCTCTGGAGCTTCAGCTTGACAATGAAAAAAATTCCCATGAACGTACTCAGGCCAGAGAATCACAGCAAATGAAAGAAATTTCCCAGCTCTCTACTCGAGTTGAAGAGGTTCGGAATGAGCTAGCGGGAGAATTGCGAGCCAAACAGCAGCAGGAACGGGACAACCACCAACAGAGCCTGGCATGGGCCAATCAGCGGGCGACGTTTGAAGGAAGAATTGATGCGCTCAAACAGCAATTGCGGTCAACCGAGGATAAGCTCCAGGAAGCCCAAAATGAAATCCATCAGCGACGCAGCCTCAAACTACACGCAGGAAATGACTCCGAATCTAGTTCTCGAACAGTCCCGCTTCAGCGTCCTGGCCCAAGTGGCCATGCCGGCGTGACTATTGCAACCCCTGGGGCTGTTCGTGTACAAGAAAAATTGAATAGGGATTCGGCCGTGCCTGGTGATAAGTCGGCGTTTTCCATCACTCCGTTCTTGAACCGCACGGGTGCACCTTCGGATTCGCCAATGAGTTCAGTTGGAGACGAAGACGACATCCTTGGAGATACTGACACTCCTCCTGGACTACTTAGCAAGCAGAGCACTTTTGGGGAACCAAAGCGACTCGGTTCTGCCCTTCGGCGCCAACTATCTCCAACAGAGGATCCCATTCCAACCACAAAACCCATCAAACTAAGGGCACGTGAGGTCGTAATGGCTGTCTCAGCACCGGAAAATGAGGTCAAGAAACCACCCCATCGCCTAGATTGCAGGATGCCACCCACTGAGACCAATCAGTTACATGAGCCATTAGAGCATGAACAGGCCAAGCCGAAAAAACGCAAACTTGGTGGTCAGCGGGATCGGAGTTTGTTTGAAGAGGACGAAGAAGAGCCTTATCCTAACAAGAAATTTGGGCGAAAACTTGCAATAGGAAATGGGCGGGCTTCAACCCTTGGGAGTAAAACACAAGCGAGTACCTCTAGTTTACCACGGGCGCTTGGGCTTGGGGCAGCACCCATGGGATTTTCTCCCTTGAAAAAAGACCGCAAACGATTTTAATGTATATATTAGAAGAGCGAATCATTTTTATTCACCAGACTCTACTCCGTACGGCAGTACAGTTAATGTTGACGTGGAGCTATGCCAAGGTCACGATAAGAGCCGACTTGGAAGTTCGGCGGTCCGTTCTGTTTTGCCGGCAAAAAAGAAAAGCTTCCCATTGCTCTCATACCTTCGATTATTTCCCTGATATTATCCAATTCGCACGATGTTTGCTTTACGTTCAATTCGAATTTGGCAGAATGGTTGTCACCAGGCAATTTGTCAAGTACGGCATGCATCATCCAAGCGCTGGCAAGCCCGGCAACAAAAGGATCAATTCACCAGAGAGGCAGCTGTCCAAGGGCTGAAAAGCCGTGCTGCTTTCAAATTGCTACAGGTAATCCAAAACTAATACTACTTGATTTTCCTGTATCTAGCTGACGGGTTGGTTCCTGTGATTAGATTGATGAGAAATATCGAATCTTCAAGGGTGGGCAGACAGTTGTTGACTTGGTATGCTAGTCATTCAATCAGAACTCGGATCTTGGTTTAATCGTTGCATTTAGGGTTATGCTCCGGGGTCGTGGTCGCAGGTGTGTCAACCGACTTTCTATTGTCTTTTAACTGATCCCCTTCCCCTTTGCCGTCAAATGGGCCTAAATTAACTGCCAGAGAAGGTTGCTGCAAGCCGCACTCAACCGCATGGTCGAGTCCTTGGTGTTGATATAATCCCAGCCCAACCGCCGAAAGGAGTGTCCACAATCCAAGGCAATTTCCTCGCACCCGAAATTCAAACATATATCCGAGACTTTCTCCGCAGTCCAGACAGAGGCAGGCCGCGCCAACCCGGCTTTCTGGACGATTCAAGTGTCAGTCTATTAGAGCCGAATTCAGATACCCAACGCACGACGGAGGCTGGGAATACGGATACCAGGGGTGATAAAATACTTGAAAGAACGGTAGATGTGGTTCTTAGCGATATGTCTGCTCCCTGGCACCAGACCTCGGGTTTCTGGAAACGAAGTCTAAGTGCTCCTTATAATAGGATGATGAACACCAGCGGTGTCAGCTTCAGAGATCATGCTGGAAGTATGGTATGAATTTCTTGTTACTCAATTGGTAAGTGTAAAACGCTTCTAACTTCATGCAGGATCTCTGCCACGCGGCTTTGCGCTTCAGTTCGGATGTTCTGAAGGCAGGCGGTCATTTCGTCTGCAAATTCTACCAAGGTGCCGAAGACAAAGAACTGGAGCAGCAGCTGAAGGAACTATTCAAAAAAGTTCACCGTCTGAAACCCGAATCATCTCGCAGTGTATGATTTGCCTTATCCAATTAATGTACCCACCAACCGACTAAAGCAATTGGCAGGAATCCAAGGAGGCCTTTTTCGTTGGCCTGGAGCGAAAATCGTGAGACCCAAAGCTTTCGGACTGACATGTCGGCATACCAGAGCGGAACCATGCTATTTGTCTAGATGATCTCGATCTCCTCATTGCCAGATGCCTCATCCCACTCAATATCGGCTAGTGCTGCTTCGGCCTTCTCATGAACCTTCCTATTTGTCAGTCTGGGACCGAGTCGTTCGATAGGCACTGACTGACCTCTTTTAGTCCACTCAATTCTTCGACATACCCACGTTCATTCAGGGCTCTTCGGACAAAGTCCCACCCCTGCTCGCGGTACGCACTGACAATTCTATCCGAGCACGCACTGCAGCTTGGATAACTTTTGCCGGTGACAGACAGGTTCTCGAAATTGGAGAGAAATCCTCGTATTTGATGGGGCACAATGCCCAAGGGATGATCATTACGTTCAGTATTGCGGGCCATGGGGGCCGGTGCGGCAGCACCTTTGGGGTGCTGAAGGAGCGACACAAAAATCTCCACCAAAAGTGCAGAGGCTATAGGAGCCACTCCAGGGCGGGTCACTGTACACTGCTGATCGAGAGTTTGATCTTTGATAGACTATTTTGCAGTCAGCTCTGTATAAAACAGGTCTCTCGTTTGGATAATCTTACATTAGCTGGTGCCACCACATCGTTGCAGAAGTAGCACCCAAGCTCGGCTGGCATATCTTCATCCTCCATGATACCGTGGCGCATCACGACGAAGGAATCAAATCCCAGGGCTGCATTCATCACGATTTTCCCTGCCGCCTTCCCCATCACTGTGGGCAGCCATCGTGATTCTCGAGTATCCATAAGGAGGAAGATAGCATCATGTTCATCAATCAAAGCTTTGAGACGATCAAAATCGGACCTTGTCACCTCTTCGTTCACAATAGGATGGCCGGCCATGGGCACCGAGAGCTCATGGCCCGTAGTCTCTACTCCCGGGTAAATTTGGGTCAGGGCTTCGGATGCCCGATGTGCTTTTCGGACGCCACCGTTCAAACAGTCTTCAAAATTGAATAGTGGCTGCCGGACAGGGTTAGAAAAGGAAACAGTTCCGTTATCGACGAATGTGATGTTCTTCACGCCCCAGCCCTATATATTCATTGATTAGAACAATGTTTTTTGGGCGCGAGGTTCACGTCAACATACCAGCAGATTCCGGGAGACGTAGCTACCTAATGTGCCAGCCCCTAGCAAAAGGCATCTGGTATGCTTGATTTTCTCAAGGTCGAGCGTCGGGCTGATCCGCCATTTAATGAGTTTGAGGTTGAGATCGACCGATTGATCTGCTAATCTTCAGGAACATTTAGCTTTCTCGATCAAGTCTTCCGGTTGGATATTTCCAAATTAACATCATACCTCTTGGGATCCATGTACTCTGTGAGATTGACAATTCTCCCCGCTAACTTCCCTGTCGAGTTACGTTCCCAGCCGGTCACCTTTGGCAGCGGTAACGACACTTGACTTTCCAGTGATTCGGGGGTCTGGGGTTCTTGTTTTGAACATGACTCCAGCTGGATTACTGTACTGCGCCCCTGGTCACGCTTCGCGTGCACGTCGCGATAGCGTATTAATTGCACCCGCTCGAGGCCCCATCGTTGCTTGATCAGAACGAGAAAGTTTCTTAACATCCATCCTGGGGCCTGTTCATAATTTGATGGGTCTGAGAAACAGAAATAGCAGTCTTCCGCAGCGACGTTCTTGAAAAACCCATTTTCGTATTCAGAAAGTGACGCTATCTGCCAGTTGCTATTTGAGATATCGTCTTGTTGGGGACTCTTCGTCTCGAAGTCGCCTACAGATACGTTATCGGAACGCTGTCTGGTTTTTTTAGCCAAAAAGAATCCTCGTTGTCGATGATCCACAATATATGACCATGTTTGCACCGCTTCCACCAAGTCTGTGCTTTCATCCGGAGAGAGGTGCGTTCCCTTCAACTTGTCAGTATCATGGCCCTGATGTTTCTCGGCTGTTTGATTTTTCGGTCTCATAGGCACCCATTGAGGGTCTGAATGAATCGCTGGGAAAGCAAACCAGTAGTGAAACTTGTATTTTTTGAGGTCGGCAAACGATACAATCACAAAACTGCAGAGTAGAGAGGGGGATGAAAGTATTGTTCCATCGTGAATGGCATCCCATATCTTGGAGTTCTTATTAATATTTGTATCTTTTCTCTCTGGGGCAACCAGTCAATTCCTACCATTTGTCCAGCTTGATGGAGCAGTTGGGATCTGTCCAAGTTTCGATATTCTTCCACGGTATTGACATTTTTGATCATGCCATCTGCTCTGTAATAACCAGCTGGTGCCCTAGATCGCTGTTAGGGAGTCTCTTTTTAGAAATATTCCGGTTTGTCTTACTCGCTGCTAGTGAGAGCGTTCCCATGAATTTGGACTCGACATGACGCAGCCTCGGGATCAGAAGGACGGATCTCGTATAGTCCCAGAACAGGCCGGGCGGAGTCATCTAGTTTGTCATGATTGATCTTATGGGAAGCCAGTGAAGTGTAGAAAGGTAATTCGATATCGGAAGCAAACGGTGTGTACTGCATCTTGGAGACGAAAAGAGTATCAAGTACCTGACATAAAGATGTTTTGTAGTAAGGGGGAACGAGGAAGTGAAGGGAAGTGAAAGGGTCTGATGTCACGAGAGAAGAGGGGCTTAGTTATCTTCATCCAGTACTGGACCTGCATTTGCTCCCTTTGGCCTTCAAGACATATACACGCACACCCTATATATATAGATAGATATACTATCTCTACCTATGTAGGGTGCACGTCATATATAGGGTGTGCGTGTATATGCCACCTACATATACTACTTAGGTATTTTGCTAAATATTGGATCATAAGGCTATAATCATCTTGTGAGCTTAACTGCTGACTTCTGTTAAACACACGATCTATTGAATCATTTGAGCCACTAGAGGTATATCTTATAATAAACTGATTATGAAACCATTTAGTCAACCTTGGAATGTACTTAACTCCAGGCCTCACAGGGCTGCCCAATATCCTGGGCAATCCTATCAGGCCGATAAGATCAGGCCGATAAGATCGCGTCGCGACTTTCGCGTTCACCCCCACTGCTTATCTTCTTTTCTTCTTCTCAACACTATTACTTAGGTATTAAACCCCGAGAAATGCTTATCGGCTTGTGTGGAGGTTAGTAGATCATCGCAAATCAACCACTCACACCCGCATGAACTAACGAGGATAAACGTCAAAAGGGATCTGTGCTGGCAAACATGCCATTGCCGAGTACCTGATCCAGCAAGGGTTTCAACTTCTCGAACTCGCCGACAAATCCCAATCCCACATCGCCGAGTCGGGGGATGACCTGCGACTGCAAGCGTCGGAGATCAGAAAAAAGATGACCCGAAATCGCCAGAGCTTACATTTCAAGATGCCGACTCTTTACTTGACTTTGCGACGAAGAGATGGCAAGAACGCTGGGTTACCACAGATATTGCAGATGCCACAACCCTAGATCGATTCCTCTTGCGTCCCTTTTTTCTCCTCGTGAGCGTCGATGCACCAGTTAGCCTTCGATGGAAACGATTTGCCGACAGGTTCGTGATAATACGTGTGACTGAAGCCTGAGAGCTGACCGTTTCTTTTCTAAAAAAAAGGTGTTGGAGAAGACAACTGGATCCGCCTGAACTTGAAAAGTTCGTAATGTGGAACGACCATAATCTTTACGACAAGGAGATTGGACGCGTATACTTGACCGACAAAGCCCAAGTGCGCCTGTTCAACTCCTCGTCGTCCCTCGATGAGCTACACTCGGCTTTACAGACCCTCGACCTGGCAGACGAACAACGGTTGAGGCCAAACTGGGACCAGTATTTCATGCAGCTGGCCTCTCTCGCCGCCCAAAGAAGCAACTGCATGAAAAGAAGAGTGGGATGTGTGCTCGTCCGAGAGAGTCGCGTCATAAGCACGGGATACAATGGGACACCGCGGCATCTTCCAAACTGCAACCAAGGTGGATGTACGATGCAGGCCAGGACTGAATAATCCCTGTGATCTTATTGTTCATTTAGCTTACTGGAAATCATTGTAGGTCCACGATGCAACCGCGGGGATGGAGGAGGAGTCGGTCTCTCAACCTGCCTTTGCCTCCATGCTGAAGAAAACGCATTATTGGAAGCAGGCCGAGAGCGGATTCGAGAGGGGGCGATTCTATATTGTGATACGTGAGTCCACTCCACCCTTGAATGAAGTGCGCCAAAGACAAAATCTTACCATGGATTGCAGATGCCCTTGCTTGACATGCACTGTTAAGATCGCGCAGGTTGGAATATCGGAGGTTGTCTACTCTCAAGGGTACAACATGGATAACGACGTAAGCCAATGCTTGTCCGTTTCATGGGGGTTTATAATCTAACTTGAATGTACAGAGTGCAGCTATCTTACAGGCAGCGGGCGTACGGCTACGACAATTCCACCCGGTAGCCAATTTTCCTTCTATACCCTTACCTCTCGGATACGTAACTAACTCTAAGCTCACAGCCTTCAAATGGACTCATCTATCTTCAGGGTTCTGTCTGAGCAATCAGTCACAACCGACAACCGGTAACCCACAATACGACAATGGACGCGCGGAATGATTCAATTTTGTCGATGAGCAATATCCTTCTGCATTCGTAAATATTTGCACCACCCCAGGGCTATATCAAAGTTGTTGTACAAAGTAACTTGTCCAGATAAGTTTGCACTTGAAGTTTGAAAGCTGAAGGTCCTGGGGCTATAATTGTCCGAAGAAAACAACTCCAGGGCTGTTGCATATGCATATGATATATGATTCACAGGTACTTATAAAGTACGAAAGTAACTTCAAATTGTTAGTAATTAGTCGTTATAGTCGTCATGAAGAAGTACCTCGGTGTACCGCCGTCCTCCGCATTTTGTCTGGCAGAAAAAAAAAACAGGTATGACTCAGCGTGCGAATTTTGGCGGGGTCCTCAAGGAACCCCTCGATGGTCTTCACAGCTGGATTCTTTAACGTGTCGTTGGTCTAATCTCGATAATCCACTACCTTGCACACTGTCAGCTGTGATTACCGTTGCGTTTTTGGCCTAAGTCCCTATAGCCATGCCTACCGTCCATTTGTTGGACTACGTTGCGGGAAACATCCGTTCTCTAGTCAATGCGATCAACCAAGTCGGATATGATGTCGAATGGGTTAAATCTCCGGAGGATGTGAAAAATGCTGACGTTAGTCAAATACCCAGGACAAATTTTATCATGGCTGGCTCACAATCATGCCATTACTAACAACAACACTCTAGAAACTGATACTCCCCGGCGTTGGTCATTTTGGCCATTGTCTCTCCCAACTGGAAAAAGGAGGGTTTCTGGAACCTATCAGACAGCATATTGAAGCCGGGAAACCTTTCATGGGAATCTGCGTCGGCCTGCAAGCCCTTTTTCAGGGCTCCGAGGAGGATAATGACGTTCCAGGACTCGGCTTGATTCCTATGCGTATTCAAAAATTCAACGATACCTCGAAGAGTGTACCACACATTGGATGGAATTCGGCAATCAACACTGGGTCTGATGGAACCAAGAACCAAAGCTTTTATGGCCTGAGGCCGACCAGCAAGTATTATTACGTCCACTCCTATGCGGCCCCCTACAACCCCGGCGTGTTGGAAAAAGACGGCTGGTCTGTGGCTACAGCCACATATGGCGAGGAAGAATTCATCGGTGCTATCAGTCGGGGTAACATTTTTGGCGCCCAGTTTCATCCGGAAAAGAGTGGCGTGGCTGGACTGCGGGCTATACGAGCATTTCTGAACGGCGATCAATTTCAGTCGCTCCCCCAGGACCTTGTCATTGGCAAAGAGAATGGGCTCACTCGTCGTGTTATTGCTTGCCTTGATGTTCGGACAAACGACTCTGGTGACTTGGTTGTCACCAAGGGTGACCAATATGATGTCCGAGAGAAGAGTGGAGCAGACGCCGGCGGCAGCGTTCGCAATCTCGGTAAGCCTGTCGACATGGCTAAGAAATATTACGAGCAAGGAGCAGACGAGGTAACATTTTTGAACATCACCTCGTTCCGAAACTGCCCCATTGCTGATACGCCCATGCTCGAAATTCTGCGACGAACATCAGAGACGGTCTTTGTACCTCTAACCATTGGCGGAGGAATCAAGGACACCATCGACACCGATGGCACCCGGGTCCCTGCTCTTGACGTGGCAACGATGTATTTCAAGTCTGGAGCTGATAAAGTCAGTGTTGGCTCCGATTCTGTCTTTGCTGCGGAGGCCTATTATCACGCCGGCGAGAAGTTGAGTGGCCAGACTGCAATTGAGACGATATCACAAGCCTATGGAAAGCAGGCTGTTGTGGTGAGCGTTGACCCCAAGCGGGTCTATGTGGATAAGCCAGAAGACACCCACCACCACACAATTAAGACCAAGTTCCCCAACTCACAGGGGCAAAGCTTTTGCTGGTACCAGTGTACTGTCAAAGGTGGCAGAGAGACTCGCGATATCGATGTGCGACAACTTGTACGGGCTGTGGAGGCCATGGGAGCTGGTGAAATTCTCTTGAATTGCATTGATAAAGATGGAAGCAATAGTGGGTTTGATCTGGAATTGATCAACGATGTCAAAGCTGCGATCAAGATTCCAGTCATTGCTTCAAGCGGAGCTGGTGTACCTGCACACTTTGCAGAGGTTTTCAACAAAACCACCACTGATGCAGCATTGGGCGCAGGGATGGTAAGTTTGCATTCTTTCAATTAAGTTTTCCTACAACGGAGACTCTAACCATGTCCTAGTTCCACCGCGGTGAATATACGGTGACTCAAGTGAAAGATCACCTTCAAACCGAGGGATTCTTGGTCCGCCAATTTGAGGCTGAAATCTGAAAAGTCGGCTGTGTCGAAGGTGTGACATTTTCTCATAGACATCTTTTGCAAGGGTTATGTTTTTGTACGAGAATAGCGAGAATAGAGAATATAGATCATAAGGGTCAAGCCCATCAAGCAAAATATACAATTCAAGTGAAGCCAGGCCCCCAGATTCAAGGTCTAATATTCAAGATGTTTGTGATCATCCTGGGATGCACCTGGGCATGAATAGCCCCAGGGGTGTCACGTGGAAGGGAGTCTCTTGACTCATCAAAAGCGGTCTAGAAAGCGGTGGAAACATAAATCATCTGACTTTTCCACTTGCCACTTCACCTTCTCCTCTCTCCCCAGACTACTACGGTGCTACGAAAGTCCCATAACTGCCATCCTCACGTATTCCACCTACGCCTTTCTCTAACTCTCACTCTTTTATTTCCACCTTTGTCGATACTTCTCTTTTGATACTCCATTTCGCCGTGATCAAACCTACCCAACAATTGTGGCACTTCGATCTTGGTCGTTTGATAGTGAATCTACTCATTCCTAACAGGGCTCTATAACTGGATTTGGTGTCTGCAAGGATCTCCAGACAGGTTCAATCACAGGTCAAGGTGCTAGGGTGGCTCTGCGAATCTTGAAGGACAGGGCAGACCATCAATTCTCTCTTGAATACACCTCTTTTTTTATTATTCAACACCAGTGTTCCTTCGGTCATCGTATTCATCAGTTCTTTGATCTCCCATTTGTATGCAGTGACCTGAACACTCACCATTCAGCATTCAAAAAGATTCATTCACATATTCCATTGTCTCAGTGGTCTATTGATTCCTGCTTTCTTTGTTTTAAAAATATCTCGTGCTTTTCCTGCGATCTGAACAGATAAGATCTGTTACCCGACCTTTGTTGTCGTGACTGGCGATACACCAGTTTCACTTCATCGCACGACTTCTTCTTCCTTTGTTCTCTCTATTATCCCCTATTGCTCACTGTACACGGCGACGGTGCCCCTAAATCTGTACACCTACAGCCATCTTTGTTGCATCGACCCCTTCCCAAATTGAATACAATGTCATCGTCCGTTCATTTCAAATTCAAGTCCCAGAAAGAACCCTCAAGGGTTACCTTTGATGGCACTGGTATTTCGGTCTTTGAGCTCAAAAGAGAGATTATCAGCCAAAGTAGATTGGGTGATGGGAGTGACTTTGAGCTATCGATTTACAATGAAGACACCAGAGAGGGTATGTTATTTCAATATATTCCACTTGCTCCTGGTTAACATGAATTCTTCTGACATCCAACAGAATACGATGATGACACCACCATAATCCCTCGGTCGACTTCCGTGATTGCCCGCCGATTGCCAGCAGCGCGCCCTGGTAAGGGCGGTGCCGCTCGTTATGTTTCCGGCAAGATGCCAGTGAACGCTCGCATTGCCCCTCGCCATGAACCCTCGATGAGCCGAGTAACGCCCGGAACGGGACAGTCCGTGAACAACAACGTCCTCGAACTGAATAATGCCCAGACAGAAGAAGAGAAGATCAATGCTCTGTTCAACCTACAGGCTAGCCAATGGCAGGAGCAACAACAAGAAATGGCAAAGTAAGAGCATTCTAACTGGACTTTGTTATGTTGGGAGATATTAATCTGATTTAGCGCAACACCCGTACCATTTGGTCGTGGCCGAGGGAAACCCGTCAATGTACCCGACCACCCTCCGCCTCCGGGGTATCTTTGCTATCGTTGCCGAGAGAAAGGTAGGCACCTCTAGTAAATCACCCTACTTCAGACAACTAATCTTTGTGCGCAGGCCACTGGATCCAAGCATGTCCTACCAATAATGACCCCAAGTTCGATGGCAAATATCGAGTCAAACGATCAACTGGCATACCACGTTCACTTCAAACCAAAGTTGACAAACCCGAATCCCTGGCCCCTGATGGCTCCACTGAAGATTCAAGGAATACAGGCGTCATGGTAAATGCTGATGGCGACTTCGTCATTGCAAAGCCAGACAAGGCAGCCTGGGAATTGTACCAAGAAAAGGCGAAGGCATCGGCGGCAGCTGCCGCTGAAGCAGCAGCTGCCGAGGAGAGCAAAGCATTGCAAGCTCGAGGTTTGGAGTGTCCAATTGACAAGAGGATGTTTTTAGAGCCAACAAAGACACCATGTTGTCAGAGGACATATTGCAATGATTGTATTTCAAATGCCTTGATTGAAAGTGACTTTGTTTGCCCGGGATGTGGTACCGAGGGGGTCTTACTTGATAACCTCACTCCTGATGATGAATCTGCATCAAAAATAAAGGTGTATGAAGCCGACAAGGCGGAAGCCAAAAAGGAGAAGGAAAAACTCCCCACCGGCCCGGATGGTATTCCTGTACCCGAAGTCTCCGAAATTGAGCCCAAGGAATCTTCCAACAAGCCGCAGAGCCCGCTCAGTCAAGTCCAGGAGAATGCGCCCACACAATCCAAGAAAAGATCTGCCGAGGACGAGCTTACTGGGGGAGTGAAACCCCAAGCTCCGAGCCGGGTAATGTGCCAAAGAAACAGAAGGCAGATGATGGTCGCTCCGACGTTCCGACTCAAGCTAGTAGCGTCCAAGATGGCGCGCCTATTCCTCCAGCAAATTTTAATAATCAGGATATGCCATTCAACGCCTTTGGGCCAATGCAAGGCATGCCTATGATGCCTTTCTCGGCCCCTGGATTCAGCAATGAGGCCATGGGGTTTATGAATCCTATGGCGATGGCATCTGCCAATGGCTTTCCCAGTGGCATGGGTCCGGGATGGAATCCCATGAACATGCCTTTCAATCCTCTTCAAGCTGGAATGTTCGACCAGAGCAATGCTGGCATGTCTAACGGATTTCCTAATATGTTCAATGGGGACCCTTCAATGATGTTCCCCATGTCCCAAAATGGGTTCCAAGGACCAAGCCCTGTAATAAATAACTTCTCAAATCAGCAGCGAACAGCTTTCAGCACACCATACTCCCGGGAAGAGGATTCGCCATATTTTCGCCAGCCCGTGAATCCGCAACGTCACCAGGCTAGAAACCGACGAGTTCGGCCTAGCGACTACAGGGAGCTTTGAAAAGATGATTGCTGGTTATGGCTTATGGGTTTGCATTCTGGTCTTTCCAGTACACTGTGTATATGCATATGATCTAGAGCGGTGGGGGAGGGTTTTTTTTTCCATCTTTCCTACTTTATCTTACTACTTTGTCTTCCGATTTTTTTTGTGTCATCCTGAGAGGTCTCCTTTTTTTTGCCTCCAGAATGTGTACTATTACCTTAGCAACAATAGGAATAATTGAACCCCATTTCCTACGTCTTCAAGTGCTTCTGGCCAGGGATTAGGCGTTAACATTGACCATCAATTCGCCATAAATGGATATAAATATTACTGTTGGGCATCAATACATGACTTGTAACTTGGCTTAGATAGCACTCTATAGGTTTGATCACCCGGTAGGAATCATGTACAAGACATAGAGAAAGTCAACTTATAAGATATAGCACTACTTACAATTAATCAAAGGAGAAAGGCGAGCGAAGTATATCTCAAGAGGGATTTGTTGTAGGTAGGACGGATGGTCATGTGACTGGGGGAAAACACCCCCCCATTCACACCGTCTCTACAATGTCTGTCCAACAACCATCCACACTCCTGTTCAACAACCAGACCACTTGTTTTATTCACCAAAACACCAACCGCCTTCATCGTGTCTTCTCTACCCCTTTCAAACCTCAAATTTCGATCTAGATCGATATTTTGACCTACATCATTCATCAAATTCCTCCCAGAACAATTATCTGAAACATCGACTATCATGGCGAAATATATGAATAACCACAGTAGTAATTCCAATCAAATGTCGCGATTCCTCGACCAAGACTCCCAGAGCACCGTTCTAGCTACTTGCTACAGTGTTGAGCCGTCGACCTTCAAGGTCCACGGCTTCCACTACTGCACTACCCTGGGCGCCGGTAAGTATCTCGCGACTCAAAATCTCATGTTGATCGAGGTCTGATTTTTCATATGTAGGGGTACAGTGGTATCCCTGAGGTCCCTTCGGGGACTAAATCGTCTCGTATAAGTCCTCCCCACGACATCCTCGATTCCGTCGCGGAACGAACCTGGCCTGGAAACAATTGGCCAGAGTACAAGGGGGAGGCAACGCATAACATCCCGGAAGAGTGTGAGAGACTCTTCTGTGACAGACTGTCTGCGACATTCCTGGGTGAGAGGAGTGTCGTGGGACAGGAGTCGCTGGGGATGGATGCGTTCCAAAATATCCAGCCAAACCAAATCGGGCACCAGCATGATCGAATCCAGCGATGGATAGAAGTGTGGGATTACTCCAGCGATGCTATCTACCGTGGATTTGTCGCTGAACACAATAAAGAGCGGACTTTGTTCGTTTTCTTCGAGGACCGTGCCCTTGAACACGGCCTCAAGTCTGGGTATGTACGCCCCTCATGTTTCCTTCAACAAGTCAAGGCTTCCTTTTTCCTCGGTGATAATCCTCTATGCGTGTTTGAATTACCTGCTGACCTTCGCCCTCTCCTCCCAGCTTGATCGCTCTGTTTGAACTTGCCGATATCGCCACCTTTGGGTGCTCGCAAATAGTTGCCTGTGTTAGTCGTTCCCAGCGCACAGATGAAATGGAGCTTGTGCGAAGTCTAGGATGGTGTGGATTTAGTCTCACCACCTTGACACCCTGGCTCTCACGCGGTGACCAAGGACCCTGCCTTAGTGATAAATGGCTTTTCTTGGTCGCCGAAGTCTAGCGAGAACACCGCACGATGAATTTATTTTGTTTGGATTGAAGTCAGGGGATCTTTGTTCATGTTTCGATGCTCTGCTGCATAATACGACTGTCTTTTTCATCCGAGGATCGAGTACTGAATGTCATTTCAATTTTTTCCCCCATCTTTTTCATGAGTTATTGTTATGTGTATATACTGTTCTAATGAAACTGTCATTTTTCTGGCGGAACAAAAAGCCGTGATACCGATAAGAGATAAGATAAAAGATAAGCCTCCAGAGCTACCTGGGTATGACCTCACCTTTACCTGGGCGTATCCCTTCCAACCTTGAGAAAGCCTTTCAAGGTCCTTTCAGAGCGAAGACATCTATTCAACATATCTAATAACATGTCCAAGGAGCGCATCAAATCTCTTCAGTTCCCCAAATTCCTCCTTCCATCTGTGTTTTTCAAACGCAATGCGGGGCTTTCTCCACCGGACCATAGACCCCAACACAAGAGCGAGAAGTATCTCGACGGCCATGTCTCCTATCTGCGCTGTGCAGGATGTGCCTCACATCTTTGCTGGACCTCCCAGATCATCAGCAAAGGATTTACAGGTCGCCATGGCCGTGCCTATCTTGTCTCGGCGGAGCCAGTAGCCACAGCTGTGTCGGTCAGCCCGTCGTCTTCGCCTACAGCCTCGCTTCCCAACACGATACTGCAGCGTCCAGTTCCTCGCCAGCTCGTTACAGGAGCTCATACAGTCAGCGATGTCACCTGCATATTCTGTGATAGTGTCCTGGGCTGGAAGTATGTTGCAGCCGAGGAAGAATCACAACGGTACAAGGTTGGCAAGTTTATTTTGGAAACGAAGAAAATCGCTGCCTCGTCATGCTGGGAATCCCCAACTGGTGGGGCCAAGAATATACAACCCGATCACCAATATGAAGTCGAGTCTGGTCCAGCAGATACAGAGTTTGACAGTCAGGACGAAGATGAGTGTGAGGACCTGTTTGCCGGAATCTGGAGTCCGGGACTTGCTGCGCGTCGAAGAAACCGTGAAAGTAAACGTCGACCTGCAATATGGGGAATTTCATGAACTGTAGGAAATCTCGAAGATGGACCTTGTGGGATAAGGTCATTGCGTAGTGTGGCATGATACCCTTTTCAACAACCTCGTTGTCTTGTTGCCTTCTTCTATTGCATACGAATCCACTATATTGTCAGTTAAGAGCTCCCTATTTATGAATATCTGTTTTGGGATTTTCAGAATTCCGGCATTTCGCCATGGGATCCGATTCATGGAAGAGTCATTAATACCCTGGTAATTTAGATGGGCTCTAGAATGTATAAGAGAGAGGGAGAGAGAGAGAGATTCCAATTTTGCCAAAGAACACAAGACCACCTCACAAGGAAACATCGTCAACACGAGACCGCTTGGAGTCATTTTCTGCAGGATCTTCGGCCGGTCTTTTCGAGGCAGTTTCGGCTTGCTGGATTGGCTGCTTTGCAGGCTTACGTTTGACAAAGGCAGATAAATCTGTTGCTCCCTTGCTAGCTGCATCAAGCTGAGCTTTCTGGTCTGTCTCGGATTGACCGATAATCTGACCCAAAACTCCCTTTAACATAGCCTCGTTGGCATGCTCGTTCTGCTCAATTGAGACAGGTGGTCGGCGCAGATCCACAAGCTGAGTTCTTTCATTAGGAACGAGTCCAAGCAGTAAATATAAATGAAAGACAAGAGAGAAGATACTTACCCTTTGCTCCATCTCGGTGACGATCTCCTTGACATTGGCGATTTTCCGCTTTGTCGCAGTTGCCTTGTCCTCATCCCCATCCTTTTCGGCCTCAAGTCTCTTCTCCTCTTGGGCCATACGGACCTTGCAGCTCGCAATGGCATGTTCCATTTGAGTGGCAGCTTCTTTCCTCATGTCTTCATCAACTCTGGGTTTATCGTTGCCATTCTCCCCATCGCCTTGTTGGACTGATGCAAATTCCAGAGCGAGTGAGAGCTTGTAATGGCACTCAGCAACAGAGGGATCTTCTAGAGGATATAGTGAGTTTCGCAATTCGAGAACAGTCCTCAGGTCAGTGACCGCTTCATTGAATCTCTCTGCCTCCAGCGAGATTTCAGCTTGAAGATCGTGTGTGTCGGCGATCCTTTCCCTGATGTGCTTTATGTCCGAGGATAACACAGTCGATTTTCCTTTGCCTCCGTCACTTTTTTCTGCAGCACTCAGCTTCTTGAGATACAAAACACGGGCAAGATCCAGGACCTCAAACGCATTGGCGAAATCGTCGTCTTCGTCGTCGTCCTCGGCTTGCTCGGCAGTTTCGTCATCCTCGTCCTCGGAGTCAACGAAGTTCTCGTCTCCTGTAAACTGGAAGAACGGCCTAGATTCTGTGGGCTCTGGTCCTTTGTCTGCGTGCTTGGTTGAAGGCGACTTTTCCATCGAATTGGCTATCGCGTCTTGAACAAGGGAATCACATTTCGACCCAGCAGAAGACGCATTCTTTGAAGATGCGGTGCCGGATCGCGGCTGCTGCTCGCCGGCTACCTTAGAGCCAAGGACATCACTTTTACTCACAGCCACGTTGTACAATGACTTTCCGTAGGCATAGAGTAAATCTGCATTCTCAGGGGACAATTCGCCGTTGAGTTCGGCCTGAAGCTCGGTAGCTTGGGAGTACAGCTCCGATGCAGAGTCGTGGTCTTTGGTCGCATCTTTTGCAGCAGCACGTGCGATCAAATCATCGAGTTGGGTTCGTTTCTCTTGCTCAGAGATGGGGGATTGAACGTCTTGGGTATCAGCCATGTTAATGGGATTTTAGTGAAGAGTGAAAGAAATGAAATGAAAACATAAGCAGATAGCCTTATTGGAGTAAGAATAAGACTAAAGTAGAAGAGTCGAGTGAAGTGGGAAAAAAGAAGAAAGAGATTGGAAGAAGCTTTAGCTCCGGCGCGTCACGCGTCGGTTTAATTGAATTCTGGGATCTCTATCTATGTACATCTTTCTCTCTCTCTCTCTCTCTTCATCGCCCTCTCTTCCTCACCCTCTCCTTTCTCATCTATGCATTTACTTTGATTTTTTAACTGGAGCCTCTTCTATTCTGGACTGAATTTCGCTTGAGTTTCCGCATACCCAATTTATGAGGCTTTGTCGCGTTTCTTAAAGTCCCGAGACACCATGAACGCCTCAACACCGCGACATCCTGATCGCTCCAGAATGGCGACAGAGGATCCTATCCCTTCATCCTCGCCTGCATTTGGGACCCCAGCGCGCCCATTTCGAATACCCAAGGGAAATGCGCCTGCCCCCAAAACTTCAATTCTACCAATTTTACTCCCTCCATCAACCCTGCGCCCAATAGCCTTTCGAACCTTCACCCGCAAACACAATCTCACAATTTCCTCATCTGCGCTTCAAACTATAGCAGTGTTCGTGGGCAAGAACTGTGGCTCAGGTTGGCGCGAGGAAGGCCTAGCAGAGCGAGTCCTGGACGAGGTTGCCAAGATATGGAAAAGAGCCGGCGGAGGCGTGATTGTCGAGGAAGGGAAAGGAGCGTCCCTAAAGACAATACTACAAACTCTTGAGGGAAGTATGAGTGGTGGGAGGGTTGTTGTTGGGAAAATAACTTCCCAGGATGGTTCCTTAAAGGCATCCACACTGGGTGTAGATGATGGGCGGGTTGAAACAGTGCGTGATACCACCGCAAAACAAGGGGCCGTTGAGGAAGATGACACACAATTGTCACTTCACCCAAGACATTGGCTCAAAGTGATCAACGCCTTTGATCTTCCGCGCTTGACGTATAACGTTGACAAGAAATACTTCGAAGCCATGAAGTCAAAGCCATCCTTGTTTCCATCGCCATCTCACAAAACAGCGCTATTCCGAGATCGATACAATCTGGTGTATCAACGATTGCTCCGCAATGAATCCTTTCAGAGCTCATTGGGCGTCGCTGGTATTCCTTCACTTCAACGTTCATCGTCTAATCTTGCTCACCGGCAATCCTATAAACTGACGCCCATCGCAAACTTGCTGGGGAGAACTGGAACCTCGCATCTACTACTAGGTTTGCTTGCAATATCTCCTACTGGAGATTTGTCTCTGGTGGACTTGACTGGAAGTGTAGCATTGGACTTGAGCCATGCCCGAATGATACCCGAAGATAGCGCGTGGTTTGCGCCAGGCATGGTTGTTCTTGTCGATGGCGTTTACGAGGAGGAAGAGATGGTAAAAGGTGCTGCATTGGGAGGAAATACTGGAGTTGGGGGTGCAATCGGAGGTCAGTTTGTCGGCATATCAATCTGCGGACCTCCATGTGAGCGACGTGATATCTCGCTAGGAACAAGCAGTCGCTACGGCAGTGGACAGCTGAGTTCTAGCGGGGGATTTGGGTGGGTTGATTTTCTCGGATTGGGAAGTGAACGTGCCCAGGGCGCACGAATGAGAAAAATCCAGGAAAAATGCATACAAGGAAACCAGGACGTACCAGAAAAGACCAGGCTCAAAGTCGCCATCATGAGTGAAGTCAATCTAGACAACATGAAGACGCTGGACGCTTTAAAGAAAGTCTTCAGTACCTACAATGATCTGTCCCTTCCTGAACGTCCACAAGCCTTTGTCTTGATCGGTAATTTTGCACAGAAAGCTATCATCAGTGGAGCTGGCCGAGCTGGGAGTATCGAATACAAAGAATACTTCGACTCGTTGGCGCTGGTTCTATCCGATTTCCCAACGTTGCTACAACACTCGACCTTTGTCTTTGTGCCAGGTGATAATGATCCTTGGGCATCAGCATTCTCTGCTGGTGCAGCATCAACAGTACCACGACAACCTATTCCGGAATTGTTCACCTCTCGAATCAAACGTGCATTTGCAACAGCAAACTCTGAGTTGAATAGGTCCCAAATCCCTGAACCCGCAGGTGATGCAATCTGGACCTCAAACCCGGCACGTCTTTCATGGTTCGGACCGGTGCATGACATCGCCATCTTTAGAGATGATCTCTCGGGAAGACTGAGACGCAGTGCTGTCAACACCACCCTTGACAACGAACTAGATGTCACGATGCAGGAGCTCTCGAGCAGTTCTGTCGGTGATGCGATCTTTGCTGCGGGTGAGAGCCAGGTTGAAGACATGGGCCAGCAACAGGGCACCAAGGTTGCAACCGCCGCGTCCGGAGCGTCAATGGCCCGCAGACTCGTCAAGACTATCCTAGATCAAGGAACAATCTCACCATTTCCGTTACCATTGCGACCCGTTTTATGGGACCATGCCTCGGCCATACAGTTGTACCCACTACCAACCGCATTGGTACTTGCAGACCCCGAGGCTGCACCGTTTTGCATGACCTATGAGGGCTGTCATGTCATGAACCCTGGGCGCTTACTACCGGAAGGTGGTACACCCATGGTCAGATGGGTCGAGTATGATGTGTTACGCAATCGAGGGAAGATCAGGGAAGAGCGTTGTTAGCCTAGTTGAAGGAGTGATTTAATTAAGATTTACGCATCATGAACAAAAATACATTTGGATGCTATGTCATATTCAAGACCTAGGAATACATCGTGAAGAGAACGTTGTAGTTACTCTTGGATTAAAACGGAAAGCCCAAAAAGGTATTGAGCTACGTCGAAGCCCTGGGGCAGATGGAGATGAAAATGGATGAACCTCGGGATTACCACAATGCTTAGTCAATGGTGATGACATCGGTATTTCCTCTGGCTTGTGGAACAGATGTCGAGCCTTGAATGTGCAAGTGTTTCGGGATTTGCTCGGGTTTGACTTCCACTTCTCTGTCGAGTTGAAGATGAGGAGCGTTAAGGCACTCGTGCATCTCGAGTATGAGGTTCCCGACCTTGTTGATACTTGCTACCGCTCCATCTCCAAGACCATTCCAACCATCGCCTTTGGACTGGTAGAGTCTCTCTTGTATAAAAGCTGCGACCTGAGCCCGACCAGACTGATCCATTCCGTTGGCATCCCTTAACATCCAGACCAAGCGGTCCTGGTGCATCGCTGCACTCAAATGGAAACGAGACCTCAGTCGAGGATAGTGAATCAGGTATACAGTCGGTTTGCGCGCGATGATCTGCACAATTGACAGACTTGCCTGATTCGACTGAGGAGTGATCTGGTCTAATGACCGCAGCAGAGGAAGCGTGGTAGCCAAGAGTTGGAGCGTTGATTCAACACCGGCTTCAGTGAACCGCTGATTCAAAGCCACGCTGAGGGGCTCTTGAATCCGGCGATGAGGGCTGGAGGGTTCGAATTTGATGCCCAATTTTAATTGGAAAAGAGGCTTGGTCTTCGAAATAGCATCTGCAACGTCAACGTAGTCAGACAAGGAAGGTCCCTCGGCGCTGATATCAAAGAAAGCAGAAAAATTCTTTTCGGGCCCGTAGGCAAAATCAATTCGCGACAAGGATAAAGATCGAGGCTCCATTCCCTTCCGTATGAGAGACTGCAGAATAGAGAGAACACATTCAAGTCGCTGCAAGATTTCAAACAGACAAGCGACGACGGAATGTCCAGCTGGCACAAGCAAACGAAGCGCGAAGCCAGCACCCTTGTCTTCAATGATTAGCGAATCATCCATCTTTGAGACGAGTGGGACCAAGGATTTGATGCGGGTTTTCAATGTGCCATGAGCCATCATTATGACAGAGCGGCGCTGGCTGTCAATTCCATGGAAAGCCAGTCGAATCATTTCTTTAAATTGCGACTGCTTCTTTACCCCGAAGGGCAACGTGACCCGGAAAGCAGATGGAAGCGTGGATGAGCTGTAGTTGAACAAGAGATCCGGTACTGTGGCATCCTTTTTTAATTGCAATTCTTTCAATGATGGCCAGAAATGCATAGCTGGCAAGTCTGCCAGATAACGCGCATTGGCATGGATAGCCAGGATTCCAGTGAGACCATGGACCAGCTCGGCGCATGTTGTGTAGTTGAGCGGTTTATGCGGAGGAACGAGGGTTTCACTGACCATGTGGGCCTGCGGACCACTCATGCTATGGTCGCCAGCACCATAAAACTGTCCCAGTTTCGCTACCTCCGTTGGCCGAAGTTGAACAAGCCACCAGCGGTCACCATCCATGCTACTGGTCGCTGCAGCAACCCAGTGCCGGTTCCAAAGCCGATGGGTGAAGAAAGCGGTTCGCATTACACCAGGAGGAAACAGCTTGCGGGGATCAAGCCCTAGTACTCTTTGGTTCACAGGTTCGAGACCGAGTGCCTTTGTGCCGGAGTCAATCTCATCCATTGCAGTAATACATCGTAGCCGGGTGACACGAGATAATATCTCTTCTATCGATGATTTATAGAGCCCTCGATCACCATCGAGACGCTCCAACACATGTGGCGTCCCACATAGGGTGATGGACCCTGACATAGGCTCGATAGAAACCCGAAGAGAACGTGAGGCTGTGAGTTGCACATCAAGGAGACAATCTCCAGGTTCTGTAGGCGATAGTGAAGCATGTAGTGATAAGGTGTGATTCGAGAAAAGGATGTGCCTTTTGAGGGTGGTAAATGCGACAGAGAGAAGGTGGGACGTATGTAATGCGATGACGCTTCTCAGAATAAGCTCCATAGATAGATCACTTGAGTTGAACCTGATAGAATCGCCGCTGACCTGCTGCCCGTCACGCATCCACCGGAAGCCGAGGTGGGATATCCCAGACTTTGAGTCACTAGAACTGCCATCGCGGTGACCACTCTTGACTCCGATTTCGAGCCAGCTCTTTGGTCCTGATCTCTGAGGCCAATACTGAACGACAAGTGTTCTATGTAGAAGCTCGATACGTAACGCATCTGCCCAGAGGCCCCGGGAAAGGTCCACGGCTTGCTTGAAGAGAATGTTGATTTTGTTCGTAAGAACGAGACCGTGGAGAAATTGAAAACATCCCATCAAACCGTCATCACGGAGTAAATCGTTGATCTTACCATCAAGTTCATTGAATATTCGACCTTTGGGGATAGGTGATGACGGCGAGAAAAGGAAACGAATGTCCACGAAGAAAAACTGTGATTCCTTTGACTCTTCTGCGACCGAGAGATCAAGTTCAAATTCACCAGAAATTGTGAATGTTACCCGACCATCATGGACTCTGTAATTGCGTAGTGGGACCGGCACTGAATCGTGTAATGCCAATCGTACGCTGATAATTCGGTTGAGTTTAAGTAGCTTTTTGAGAGTTGCTCGTGCTGTCAGTGGCGTGGGAGGTTTGTAACCAAGCTGGTAGGTATGTTAGAGTATTGCAGGTTGCAAATCTATTGGGGGAACTCACATCTGGCAAAGAGGCCACTCGTCCCTTTGATAATACCTCAACGGCTGTTTTTAGATCCGGGTTGGCGACTTGCGCTCGAACAAGATCTCGTTTTACTTCACCGACATACTGGAGGGCTGCATCGTATGATTGGTGTCGTGTGCGAATGAACCCTTGGATATCAATGAGTTTGCTAACATCTGCAGCTTGTCGACTCCACTGCGAAAGGACCAGCAGCTTAATGAATTCGGCTCTTTTGGCATGGGCGAAATCCAACAATCGCAACTTCTTGTGCACATTCTCTGATGACTGGTTGCCGGCTGGTTTTCCATTGGGAGACATCGAACCTCCCGAGGCTGGCACTTGTATCGTAGCCAATTCTGTGATCAACTCTGAGAGCTCATTCCAACATTCCTGTACTGAGCGATTGACTAACGTGCCGAGCGGAAAGAATCCTTGTGTGATATGTGGCAGTTTAAAGGGCGTTTTCGGCATGATTTCCACTGCCTTATCTGCGAGAGTCCGTGAATGTTGATTTGAAGCAGTAGTCCCGCTGGATGCGCCATTGACATAAACTGAGCCATTCATGCCAGAGATATGACCAGACTTATCGGAATTATTAAAGACATTGGGCGCGCCATTCCTAGCCTCGTTGAGGCCTGGCCGCCCGACAGATCCCTCGACGTTGACATTGTCCATGACGACACCGGGCATTTCTGGAAGTACAGCCTAGCTGCTTTGTAATTTTTCCGTCGAAGCTTTCCCCTCCTCGGCCCTCTGCACGATGCAGAACAAGCGACGCAACACAGGCACCGTTCCGGGCTCGGTCCAATCGGGGCTGGGGTAGGAAGGGAAGCCGAGATCAAAGGTAAGGCCAGAGGTAGGTCCTCAATATGATGCCATGCGTTTCACGGACCGTGCAAACAGAACGCCACGCTCATAATCGAAGAAGCTGGGCGCACAGCTTAGAATTCAAATGGGCCCCGAACGGTTGGTCGAGGCTCGGGCGAGGATGGCAACGGATCGGTGTCGAAATCAGTGAAAAGTACTCCGGATCGCACAGGTTTCAAGTTTGACTTGTCTGGCAGCTAGCTGTGACGAAATATGCGATCAGGAAAATAGAAATCTCAAGGATGATCGCAGGGTTGTCGCAATGCGAGGAACGCAGCAAAACAATCTGGTGGGCTGATAGGAAACGAAGGGCAGCGTAACTGTCAAAGTAACTGGGTGAGGTGAATCTAGAGTTTCATGAGTCTGGAAAAGGGACAGCTGGGAAGAAGATGGGTGCCCAGAAGACGACTGGGTCAACAATATATCTCAAGCCCAAGATGATTTGATCAAAGCGCGATGCGCTGCATGCATTCACCCTACCGCCTTCAGTTGAATGCCTTGATGCCTTGATGCCTGATATTGCAATGTATCATATATACAAGGCCGATACAGGGCTGGTATTCAATCGTGTATTGTTGGAAGTACCGCTACAAAGAACACAGTACAACTTTACACTGGCCCTGAAGTTCTCTGTGACTTCCTGATACTCATACCTTGTAAGAGACCTCACCCCAGAAAGTCAACACTGGCCCATATGACCTCATCTCTTTCATACTCGTTTAACCACCTGGGCATTCTTAACCCAAGTGACTTTCAACTGAGATTTATTCCCTTACAACACTGTATGCTTCCTATCTGATTCATAGGTGGGCATGAATTTGGCTTTTTCTTGCCATGAACATACAGGAGAATGTTGAGTGTCTTCCTCAATATCCTGGTGATGACACCCGGCCGACCAGCAAGAGGGAGCTCGCTGGCTGGTATTGCTATGGCTGGGCTGCCGAGGTTTTTGTAGTATGTGCTATGGGTATGTGTGATTCTACTTTTAAATTTCTCTCTCCCCCCCTTTTTTTTATTTTGGGTCTTCATCCTAGACTTTATCTGATCTGAGAAAGGTTCATTTCTTCCGATAACACTGGAACAGCTGGCCCGGGATCGGGGCGTTCTGCTGTCTGACAAAACCACACCATGCAGCGCAAGTTGGACCCCCTCGCTGCCATCACCAGGTTCGGATGCACCGGTCTATCTTCCTCGGGTGTCAGATGGCGGCCAGTGTATCATCTACTTCCTCGGCGCTGAAATCAACACTGCGAGCTTTGCCCTATATACTTTTTCATTGAGCGTTTTGGTTCAGGCAGTCCTGATCATTTCAATGTCAGGAGCCGCTGACCACGGAACTTATCGCAAGAAACTCTTGGTTGTTTTTGCTTTCGTTGGTTCAATTGCGACCATGTTGTTTTTGTTCGTGGTCCCTAAAATTTACCTCCTAGGTGGACTGCTTGCAATCATTTCAAATACTTGCTTTGGTGCATCCTTTGTCCTGTTGAATTCGTTTCTGCCCGTTCTCGTCCGCTACCACCCATCGCTCAAGGAAGGTGAAGAGGTGACGCCGTCAGGTGGTAACGCGACGAGTCCCATTGGCCCTTTGTTTTCTTCGGCCGGAGATATTGACCGAACAAACGTCAGTGACTCCACGCCTCTACTTGGGTCCAACGGGGAAATCCCAAAAACGTCTGCTGCCTCTATCACTTCCCTCGAGCTTAGACTTTCCACCCGCATCTCTTCCAACGGTATCGGTATAGGTTATATCGGTGCAGTGCTTCTACAGGTGCTCTCTATCTTAGTTGTCGTGGTCGTGCGTCCACCAACATTCTCACTACGCGTTGTGCTCTTCCTGATTGGACTATGGTGGTTCTTCTTCACCATCCCGGCAGCCTTGTGGCTGCGCACTCGACCAGGGCCACCTTTATTGGATAGTGACGGCAAACCGCTTCATTCATGGATTGGACACTTGATCTACGCCTGGAAATCTCTTGGGAAAACCATGATGCGGGCGCGGCAACTGAAAGATATCATGATCTTTCTTGCTGCCTGGTTCCTTCTCAGTGACGGAATTGCCACCGTCAGTGGCACTGCTGTCCTGTTTGCAAAAACCCAACTGAACATGAAGCCTGCCGCCCTGGGACTCATTAATGTGATCGTCATGCTTGCAGGAGTATTCGGTGCGTTTTCTTGGAGCTACATATCAAATTTCTTCAACCTACGGGCCTCGCAGACAATTGTTGCGTGCATCCTCCTATTTGAGCTCATTCCACTGTATGGTCTTCTTGGGTTCATCCCGGCTGTGCAACGCGTGGGTCTAGGCCTTCATCAACCTTGGGAAATGTATCCTTTGGGGGCCGTTTATGGCCTAGTGATGGGTGGATTATCATCTTACTGTCGAAGTTTCTTCGGACAACTCATTCCCCCAGGTTACGAAGCGGCTTTCTATGCGCTGTACGCAATCACCGACAAAGGGTCCAGCGTTTTTGGGCCAGCCATTGTTGGCGCCATTACGGATCGCTACGGTGAGATTCGACCTGCATTTGTGTTCTTGGCAATTTTAATTATTGTGCCACTACCACTTATGCTGTTGGTGGATGTTGACCGTGGAAAACGAGATGCTTTAGCACTGGGAGTCGAATTGGATGGCATACCGCAACGACCTGAATATGGGACCATATCTGACGGTCAAGTCAGTCCGATCGAAAACTAATGTGTGACTGTGATCTGTCAAGCAGGATTGCTTTTTTATATTGGTAGACTAGTCCAAAAGTAAAAAGGGCAATTATTATAGGTATAGATGAACCTCGGGATTGCTTCAAATAAGGCCACTTGTCAACACCCAAAGGGCTTATGTCCGTTCCCATTTTAGTATATACCGGTACTCTGTATCTTCTATTATATCTGCATTGAAGTGTCTAGTACTCGAATTTCCCCATAAATTAGCTGAATAGTGGAGGTACCAGGTACTTAAAGGTCCCTTGCAGCCCTGCATAGCCCAGTCACAAAGCTCCACCTTGAGTGAACAAACTGTCCTCAAGTTCCCTTCTCCCTCCCCCCCATAAAACCTTCCCCCCAATTTGTCCCTACTTCATTCTTCTAACATTGAGCATCTGGGGTTCTTGTTTGATTTATCTACAATTATGCGGTCTTTCGCCCCCCTAGTACTAACTCTTCTTGGAGCTACTGCAGTTCACGCTGCTGAGCCTGAAGTTGTCGACGCTGACGCCAATGTCGTCACTTTGACAACCGATACCTTTGACGACTTCGTCAAAGAACACCCTTTGGTGCTTGCCGAGTTCTATGCGCCTTGGTGTGGTCACTGCAAGGCCCTTGCCCCCAAATACGAAGAGGCTGCCACTGAGCTGAAGGCCAAGGATATTCCCGTGGTCAAGGTGGATTGCACCGTGGAGGAGGAGCTGTGCCGAACCTACGAAGTTGATGGCTACCCAACTCTGAAGGTCTTCCGTGGCCCTGATTCGCACAAGCCCTATGCTGGTGCCCGCCAGTCCGACGCGTAAGTCATTCGGCCCTATTGGTTCTTGTGCTTGAAAAGTAAGAAACTAACGCGTATCTTGGATAGAATCGTCTCATACATGACCAAGCAGTCTATGCCCGCCGTTTCAAACGTAAACGAGGAGAACCTGGAGGAATTCAAGGCCTTGGATAAGATTGTGATTATCGGGTACGTGGCTGCTGATGACAAGGCCGCCAACAAGAGTTTCACTTCGTTCGCTGAATCCCAGCGTGACAACTTCCTCTTTGCTGCTTCCAACGATGCTGCTCTCGCCAAGGCCGAGGGCGCCAAGCAGCCCTCCATTGTTCTCTACAAGGACTTTGATGAGAAGAAGGCCGTCTACGACGGAAAGCTGGAGGATGAGGCAATCCTCGAATGGGTCAAGACCGCTAGCACTCCTCTTGTTGGCGAGCTTGGTCCCGAGACTTACTCAAAGTACATGGCGGTATTTTTCCCCTACCTTTCTGTCCCGTATTTGAGCAAGAAATGAAACTGACTTTCTCCAACAATTTAGGCCGGTATTCCCCTGGCTTACATCTTCGCTGAGACTCCTGAAGAGCGCGAGCAGTTCGCTGCTGACTTCCGTCCCATCGCCGAGGCCCACCGTGGAGCTATCAACATTGTTACTCTTGATGCTAAGCTCTTCGGCGCTCACGCTGGCAACCTCAACCTGGAGCCCGAGAAGTTCCCTGCTTTCGCTATCCAGGACACCACCAAGAACGCCAAGTACCCTTACGATCAGAACAAGAAGATTGATGCCAAGGATATTGGCAAGTTTATCAAGGACGTCCTCGACGGCAAGGTTGACCCTAGCCTCAAGTCCGAGCCCATTCCCGAGACTCAGGAGGGAGCTGTCACCGTTGTTGTTGGGCGCACCTACCAAGAAATTGTCATCGACAATGAGAAGGACGTCCTGATTGAGTTTTACGCTCCCTGGTGCGGACACTGCAAGTCGTAAGTTTTGTCACAGCTCATGTGTATTTTTTTCCCCCGCAAATCACTTACCATCACTAGCCTTGCTCCTAAGTATGACGAACTTGCTGCCCTCTACGCCGATGTCCCCGAGCTGAATGAGAAGGTCACTATCGCCAAAGTTGACGCCACTGCCAACGATGTGCCCGATTCCATCACTGGCTTCCCCACTATCAAGCTTTATCCCGCCGGTGCCAAGGACTCCCCTATTGAGTATTCTGGTTCTCGCACCGTTGAGGACCTTGTCACCTTCATCAAGGAGAACGGCAAGTACCAGGTGGACGGCCTGGGCAATGGCGCTAAGCAGCCCGAGGAGCGTGCTGAGGTCACTGCTGCCCCCAAGGCCACTGAGTCTCCTGCATCTGATGAGAAGGATGCTCACGATGAGCTTTAAGCGCTTACTCGCTTTTTCGAATATGTAACGCAATATCTTGTATTCTTTGTCTGAACTCGAACTATATTCGACTCCATGTTATTTCCCACAGATCTCTATATCAAAGTCTAGACTTGATAGTGGCTTTTATGAATTTCGTAAATCAGTATATAGGTAAGTACGGAGTAACTCAGTAAGAATCTCCATTAGATGACAAATTCGGAAGCTCCGATCCTATGAAGATCTCATCACAGCCGATCTCAGCCTTGCAGTTTAGTCGCGTCGCGTAAAGGCGCGTCGGCCTCTTATCGTCTCCGGAATCCCCAACAACCTTGAAACTTCGCGGTCAACTCTTTAATCTTCCCATTTATCCATCATGATCAGTCCTGCCATCAAAAGAAAATCGGAGCATCACTCAGCCCCTGATTCGAAAAAAATCAAAGGTGGAAGCATCACTGCATTCTTTGGAGCTCCAAAGCCGAAACCCCCGAGCAATCAATCAACTTCAACCTCGACACCGACCCGGCCAAGCAGCTTTGATAAAGCAAAATGGGTTGCTTCCTTGACACCAGAACAAAAGGAATTATTGCAGTTGGAGATCAATACCTTGGATGAGAGCTGGCTCGCTCACTTGAAGGATGAAGTGGTCAGCACTGAATTCTTGAACTTGAAGCGTTTCCTGAAGAAGGAGAAAGATTCCAAAGTGAAGGTCTTTCCACCAGAAGAGGATGTCTATTCTTGGTAAATCACATCACCCGTTCTAGCCCAACCCCGCGTGCTGATCAGACCGTAGGTCCCGATACACACCTCTGCACAATGTCAAAGTAGTTATCATTGGCCAAGATCCGTATCACAACCACAACCAAGCCCATGGGCTATGTTTCTCCGTTCGTGCCCCCGTACGAGCCCCACCATCATTGCTCAATATCTACAAGGGTATCAAGGTCGACTATCCTGACTTCGAGTCACCACCCGATAAGGGAGGACTACTCATACCTTGGGCTGAGCGTGGCATCCTGATGCTCAACACTTGCCTTACTGTTCGTGCCCACCAGGCCAACAGTCATTCCAACAAGGGCTGGGAGAAATTCACGCAGAAAGTCATCGATCTCGTTGCTCGGGTACGAACCAACGGCGTCGTCTTCCTTGCTTGGGGCCGGCCTGCGGGAACTAGAGTCGCAAAAATCAATAAAGAGAAGCATTGCATTCTGCAATCGGTGCATCCCAGTCCTTTGAGTGCGCATAATGGCTTTGTGAGTAGATCATCTTCTAAAGACTTGATTTTTCCTTGAAACTCTTCTTGGCTGACAGGCTGATATATATACATATATAGTTCCAAAATGGACACTTCAAGAAATGCAATGATTGGCTCGCTTCACGGTACGGAGAAGATGAAATCATTGACTGGAGCTTAGTGCCATCCAAAAACCCTCTGTTGGCCCCTTGCGTTTCTGACAAGGAAGATTCGACGACATTGACCAACAACGTGCCAGTTGAGCCTCAATCTGCCAAGGTGGAGGGTATCAAACTCCCTGGTGAGGTTGATGAGTTTGATGATGATGACGCTATTGAAGCCCTGGTAGCAGCTGAAGCAGCCGGGACTTCTTCAGATCCAATTTAGACTACTGAATACCTACACACCTATCATGAAGTCTCCCGAGGTCACTTTGCTGGCTTAGAAAAGTCCCGTGTTGGCTATGTTTCCATGTTGTTTCAGCCGGGAGTGGGAGGTATTCAAGGCGTTCAAAAGCCGCATGATATTTCAGATTAATTTCGGACCTACTTGCATATTTAATTATCTGAATCCATTGAAGTAGAAAACATGCACATCCTATATGTACTACGCTTTAAGCTCATTTTGGCTCGCGAGGTCCAGCCTCAGCTTCTTATCGATAAGCCAATCTCGATCGCGACCAAAACTTTCCCCTATCAAAAAGCACCTTGTCAATGATTTCCCTAGATGGAACTCACTTGGCTCCCGGATATCCCTCAGTCGCGGAGTCGCACTCGAGCTTTGCGGGCATGTCCCACATGCCAACGATCAAAGGTGCGTATGTGATGGGAAGATTGAACCCAGCAATCGTCCATCTAACCTCCCAACAGAAACGATGCCGACATTTAATCCCTAAATGGGAGCCCTCCAATACTCCGGATCGACGGTCGCCACAATTGAACGATGACCCTGGGAGGGCCACTCACAGAGATGTCTTGAATCGTGAGCAGCTTCCTGCATCCGTGGGCACAGACCGAGCACGCACAACATCCGATAATCCAGCTTCGTTATCGGTCCCTGCCACCGAGCGTTTTGTGGGAGATCTCAATCCAGAATCCCTGATTCGCGAGAGATTACAGGAGCCGACTGGGACCCCTTTAAGGGATCGTATCGGGCTCTGGATCAACTCTCCAGCTGCACAGAAAGCGAAGCCGCGGAGCATACAGAGAGGACCAGCCACAGCTGAAGACTGTATGACAAATTTCCCGGCCGAAACGGCAATTAATAGCCAAGATACTGCATCGTTACTTCACCAGCGGTTTACTGCAGGGATGCAAGCACGCGAACGACTACCCCTAGGGACGCGGCAGTATTTGTCCGCTATCTACTTCTCCAAGCTTAACCACATTGTACCAATAGTCGACCAGGGATTCATCCAAGCCCAAGCGGAAGGGTTGTCATCGGTATTTCTAGAAAAAGCCATATGCCTCGCCGCAGCGAAGACCCCTGCGGCCAATCCGTACTTACGCCTTGTGTCAGGCGGCCCCATTCTATCGTCACGCCGATTCTGTTCTGAGATATACCAGGCGCTAGTTGTCGCCATGGACGCAGAGCTAGAGCAGGACCGGTTGACACGGA